ATATATATATATATATATATTCTGTATTTCACATTGGTCAATTTCATACAAAATTGTCACCGCCCCCAGAAATATATCAATATATGAAATTATTATATTTAAAGTAATAACATACTTTAATTATATATATATATATATATAATTTATTGTGTATATTTTTCTATCTAATAATGTTTTGCAGTTCTTGGGAAGATCCGGAGTGCTGTGGGCAGTGCTCACCTCCTAATGTCCCAGAAATTCCAGCAGTTTTACTGGTTGTGTCAGCAAAATTTGGTATGTGGCATTTCTACGATCCCCATGAGATATACTTTAATGCTCCTTTTGCATCATAAAATACATCAACCATGCACCAGTTCTGTCATAAAAGATTCAGTTTGCCTCTTTGAAAGGCAGTTCATTAGGAAGTATTTGTAAGTGTTTACCTTGCATTCTTGTAAGTCTTTAGTTTTTGGTCAAAACAAGGTTAAATACTAGCTTTTCAGCATCTTATAATGTTCACATTTTTAAAAAAAAGATCCTTAAAAGCCAATAAAATTGAGAAGCAAACTTGTGCAAGATATTATTTTAATCAGAAATATCTTTGTTGACTTTTTTCCACATTGACAGTTTAAAAAATGTATAAAATCAAAAAATGATCAATAAAGCAATATATTATTTTATAAAAGGTCTAAATGTATTGTGCATTGTCTCTAACTGACTGAAATACACATTGATTAGTTGCAGTGTCATCTCCACTAAATATGATTTCAGCCTGAAAGGAGCTTTAACCAGTTTCAAGCTGTGTGAGTGTAAAGATCCTGACATTAATTGGTAGTTGAATGACACTTTAAAGGGTTTGTTTAGTGACGCCCCACGGCTCAGGACCTGGCTGGGTTCTGGGATCTCCTGCAGCTCTCCATTGAGGATGTCACTGCCAAGTTTGATGAGCTGCAGCAAATCAAGAGTAATGAGTGGAGGATAGTGGAGAGTCCAGAGAAGAAGGTAATTGTTTCTCTCTCTCTCTCTCTCTCTCTCTCTCTCTCTCTCTGGAGATTGTGAAATGATGGATGTTGTAATACATTCACACGGACAGGCAGAGACCAGCTTGTCCTCTCTAGTATGAGCTTCCAAGAGACTGAACAGTTTAGCGAAGCATCATTAACAGAGAAGAGAGGATGTAGCCAGAATAAACAGCAAATATTCTATTTGTATCATTGTTTGGATAAGAGATGATGAAAGTGAAGCTGGACTTTAGTGACCTCTAGTGATTATTCATGATAATCTATTAATTCATGGCACTTGGTGCAGTCATGCGCAAGTAGTGATCAGGATGCTTATTTGATGTGATTCCTCAAGGGGTCATAAGTTTACACCACTTTCTCATACGTTTTTATATTATCATTATTTTACATGACCCTGAAAAAGCTCCATAACCCAAGACAAAATAACTGAAATGAAACAAATCATGCTCTTCAAAAGTTCACATATCTGCATTGCCTCCTGCTCATTGGCGTTTGTGATAAGTGAGAGTGTATGAGTCCTTCAGTTGTCCTGAGTGGCGAAGCTGGGTCTCGATATCACTGCGCCACTGTGGGGAAGATCTCAAACGTGCAGCGCATGCTGAGAATCAAAAGAACTTACTGTACCCAGAGGATTTTTTTGTCAAAAACAGCAGACAGCTTCACTGCTCACACACAACTATCAGCTAAACAGGGTCAAAACATTCATTTACACTCAATAGGCAATTATAGGTATATATGTCAAATAAAATTACATTTGAAAATATATTCAAATAGAAAACAGTGATTTTAAATTGTAATAATATTTTACTTTAAAAATATATTTATTTTTAATAATAAATTTAAAATATTTTACTGTATTTTACTGCAGCCTTGGTGAGTCTTCTTTCAAAACCATTAAAAAATCTTACAGACCCCAAACTTTAGAATGGTTTACAGTGATGCGGGTAACACATTACAAGTAATGTGAGTTATATAATCAGATTTTTTTTTTCAAGTAACTAGTAAGCTAGTAGCTAGTAGTTAAACTAGTAGCTAAGTCACATTACTTTTTAATTTACAAGTTACTTTTTCAAATAAGTAATGATAGTTACTTTGTTTTCCCATTTATTGACTGACAGCTCTCGTGATTTCATGTTGAGAGAAATCGGGAGTAAGTGTGTGTTGTGTAAACATGATTGACTACAGTAAATGTGACTAAATGAGACTAATATTCTAGACTAAACATGCATTTACTCATCTCACTTGCAAAAAAACAAAAAAAACATTCAGTATTCCTCAAAATGAATAAAAAAACAGTGAAAAGCAAACTCAGAAAACCTGCAATAATTAAATGTTAACACAAAAATCCTTTATGTATTTAATCACATTTTATTAACCAGTGCTGACCTTCAGTGATCCAATTCAACGGTCCCACTTTATATTAAGTGGCCCTAATACCTGTGTACTTACATAGTAACTAGATGTGTACGTAGTATGTAACCACAGTGTAACTACACATTGGTACATAGTATCTAGAGCTGTAATATTTCTGTAACTAAAGAAAAAAGTGTTGTTACCAATGTCCTGTTACACATTTGTATTTACACATACCATTCAGTGGGTTGTTACATATGTGTAGTTACACAAACATTACAGCTGTAGATACTATGTACCAATGTGTACTTACACTGTGGTTACATACTACGTACACATCTAGTTACTATGTAAGTACACAGGTATTAGGGCCACAATATAAAGTGGGACCCATTTCCTTCAGCCTTATTCATTTCACTTTTGGTGTGAAAGGGCTTTTATATTTGCCAAAAATATAACTTTTTTTTATATTAAAAACAAACAAGCAAGCCCAGGCCAGATGAGAAAAAGTAACACAAAAGTAATTTAACACATTACTTTCCATAAAAAGTAACTAGGTAACGCAATTAGTTACTTTTTTAGGGAGTAACGCAATATTGTAATGCATTAATTTTAAAAGTAACTTTCCCCAACACTGATAGTTTATATATATTTACATATCAACATGTATATATAATTACTAATACTGATGCTGATTCTGATGCCTCCTATTAAATTTATTTTTTAATCAATTTCCTGGGATAAAATGAGTAAATATAGCCATTCAACATCACAGTATAATCAAAAGCCTTAATCTTTTTTATCATTTAATTTAAAAAATTTAATATAGTGATGCTTTTGTGCTCTGTTTAAATGAGAGCTGTCAGTTATTTTTTTCCCCACTAAGTTAATTTTGTGCATTTGTTTTCACAATAAATAAGAAAATCACAGATTTTTTTTATTTGAATTATTTGCACTAAATTGTTTTGTTGCATTGATACAAATTCTAATAAACCAAGGAAATGATAACAAACTCTACTCCTTTACCTCAGGAAAGAAAATGGCCACCTCCTGTTACAAAGAGGCCTCCTAAAGGTCGTGGAGCTGTCATGCGCGAGCGATCCTTGGATCTGCAGGACCGACAGAGGCAAGAGGCCCGCCGTAGGCTCCTAGCTGCAAAACGGGCTGCGTCTTTCCGTCAGAGCTCAGTTACAGAGCGGGCTGACAGCATAGAGATCTACATCCCTGAAGCCCAAACACGTTTATGAAACGCACATAACAACAGGGTACATCCATTCTGCTCCATGTCACTGCTCCGCCCGTTCACATTCTCCCATCTGTTACAAGTATTCTTCCTCTGCTCATCATCTACTCTGAGCTGAGAATAGTGGTGAGTTTATATATGCCTCAAACAGAGCTCAATGCAAAGAGGTCATGGCAGTCTATGCACTCCAAGGCCTGCAGCTACTGCAACCCAGTTTGTATTTCAGTTTTAAGTTCATTCAGAGGCCAAAACTAAGGCTTTGTCCACACTGCACACAAATCCGATTTGGTTTTCACATCCAATTTTTAGGATGCAATTAGGACACGGTTGCAATAGTAGTGATTAAAGTAACAATCCCGCCATGAGATGTGTGAGAGCGATTAGTTCATTAGCAATTATTATATTAACATTCATGCGCATACTGTGTCCAAAACCACTGACTCATTCACTCACTATTTATGACATGAATTTTATGGAGCCATAGGGACATGGTGATGGAAAATTATATTTCAATGCTTTTATGTTCTCTCGCGAAACTCTCGCGTTCTCTTGAAAAAATATTGCGTTCCCCTGAGAAACTGCATTCTCTCACAAAACATTTGCGTTCTGTTACGTTCCTCTGGAAACCTTTGCATTCTCTCGCGTAACTTTTGCGTTCCCCTGAGAAACTTCGCATTCTCTCACAAAACGTTTGCGTTCTCTCAAAAAACGTTTACATTTTCCTGAGAAGCTTTGCGCTTTCTTGTGAAACGTTTGCTCTTCTCGCAAAACCTTTGCTTTCCCCTAAGAAATGTTGCTTTCTCTCACTAAACGTTTGTGTTCTTGCACAAAAACGTTTGCGTTCCCCTGAGAAACTTTTCATTCGCTCGCGAAACGTTTGTGTTGGAAATAATATGAGGTGGCTATATTCCAATGCTTTTGTGGGTGAATGCAACATTTGTTGGGGCAATGCAAGAAATGTGTTCTTTTACGTTTGCGAAAGAACACAAAAAAGATTTGTGAACCACTGCAATGTTTCTTGAGGGAACACAATACTTTTGCGAGAAAATGCTTAGATATATGTGACCCTGGACCACAAAACCAGTCTTAAGTCGCTGGGGGATATTTGTAGCAATAGCCAAAAATACATTGTATGGGTCAAAATTATAGATTTTTTTATATTATAGCCAAAAATCATTAGGATATTAAGTAAAGATCATGTTCCATCAAGATATGTTGTAAATTTCCTACTGTAAATATATGAAAACTTAGTTTTTGATTAGTAATATGCATTGCTAAGAACTTCATTTGGACAACTTTAAAGGCGATTTTCTCAATATTTTGATTTTTTTTTTGCTCCCTCAGATTCCAGATTTTCAAAAAGTTGTATCTCGGCCAAATATTGTCCTATCCATATAATACCACACATCAATGGAAAGCTTATTTATTCAGCTTTCAGATGATATATAAATCTCAATTTCGTAAAATTTACCCTTATGACTGGTTTTGTGGTCCAGGGTCACATATAATTTTCATTCCCATCTCATATTTTTTTCCAACACCATGTCCTCTTAGGGGCTCCATCAAATGTCATATAATTTAATATATGAGGGAAAAAAATTAAAGAAAAAAAGAGACATACGGAATGTGATGCTTTTGGAATGACTAAAAACTAATTTGACTGTTCAGACACATTCCAACAGATTTTAAACCGATTTCAGACCACATATGGATGTAATTTGGAAACATCAGACTCCAAAAAAAAAAAAAAAAAATCAGATTTTTGTGGCCTGTCTGAACAAAGCCAAAGTCTAGCCCTCAGCATAGGCACAGTTAACACTCCTTTCAGAAAATGTATTCTACAGCACTGGCACAAAACTAATGTCACAGCATAGCCACTTCATCCACAGCATCATTCCCACGAACAGAAAACTAAAATGACTCTAAACTTGACTTAGTATGGAGTTTAGATTTAAATAAGCAAATTTAAGATCGCAATTTCTTTAAGGTTGCAAAGTCTTTACTGCTCAAAAGGCGTTACAAAGCAGTTCTACTTCTTAAATGATCCACATTTGTATGTTTGGAAACATCGGATTCCAAAAAAAGAAAGAAAGAAAATAAAAATAAATCGGAATTTTGCTGCCTGTCTGAACAAAGCCAAAGTCTAGCCCTCAGCATAGGCACAGTTAACACTCCTTTCAGAAAATGTATTCTACAGCACTGGCACAAAACTAATGTCACAGCATAGCCACTTCATCCACAGCATCATTCCCACGAACAGAAAACTAAAATGACTCTAAACTTGACTTAGTATGGAGTTTAGATTTAAATAAGCAAATTTAAGATCGCAATTTCTTTAAGGTTGCAAAGTCTTTACTGCTCAAAAGGCGTTACAAAGCAGTTCTACTTCTTAAATGATCCACATTTGTATTTCCAACGGAAATGTTGATCTTGATCCTCGTGATGTTGTCGCAGTGGGGGATTCGCACGAAGGTTTTGCTTCTAGACTTCAATTTAGTTTTAGCTTCAGGGTTAATAGAGATTAAATCTAGTTCTGACTTAACTGCACTGTCAAAGAGAGTTTAAAAAAATCATTTTATTCTATGGCTAAGGTTTAAAGTCCATTCAGCCCAAAAAGGCCTTGATATCATTCAGTCATAGCTTGACTTTCATTGACTGACCACCGGTTTTACACAAAAACATTTACAGAGAAATATTTACAACACTAATCTTCCTCAATGTTCACCACTCAAGGTAGTCTGTGACATAAAGGTGCAAAAGAAACTTTAATAATATTACTGTAAATGGTGCTGCTTTATACTCTAAAATGTAGAAGCCCCCTCCTCTCCTTTTCTGCACAGCACTATAAACCACCTGTGGACTTTTTAAAGGGAGGTTTAACATGGTGTCTCATCTCGGATTATCATATTTATGGTCACTGGTTTGTTGAAAAGAAATATATTTATTTTAGGTTAGACAGTTAAGCTTTTTGTATATCACACTTTTCGGTCCAGCATTTGCACAACAATGTGTCCATCTGCCTTGTCACTTTTGAGAACAGAAACCCGGGTGTGCAATAGGGGTCTCTATGATGAATTGTTGAATTCAAATACCATATTTTAGATTGGGTGGCAACAATTCACTTTTTTATTTCTAATTTGGCTTTAGGTTCTTTATAACCTCGATTGTGGACTAAATAATAACCAACAGCAGCATTAGATTCCGTACCTTATATTTGTAAATACAACAGTTATTTAACAGCAGTTATTAATTATTTTTACTGGCACAATGATGAATTTTAACTGTCCACAACTCTGACTGCGGGATTTTTCGCCCTGGTTCCAGGCCTAACTATCTAGAGATGGCCGTTTGCTACGTTGCTAGCGGTACTGTCTATCCTCTTAGCATAACTGCTGCTTACATTCATAAGGCGTTAGAAAGCAGCATATAAATCCCTGGCTTTTTAGCTATTTCCTTTACCTGGCAGCCTTACAGCATCTTAAGAAAAAAGCATTGTGAATGTACTGCCCTGCTCTTGCAAAAAAAAAAAATGAATAAATAAAATAATAATAAAAATAAATATATATATAAGTAAAACATTTTTAAAAAATGAAGAAGCAGCAGAAAAAAAGGGATTTGTCAATAAATGTTTCAGCTCATTTTAGGAGTAAATTCAGACTTGTACAGGAAAAATTAATTGGGTAATGATTAGTTTTAATGCCACATTTAAAGCAAGGGATATTTCAACCAAAAACTGGTTTACTATCATCTCGTTATCTTTACAAATTGTTGATCAGAACTCCATTAGTTTAATCCTCACATTGAGCACAAAAGAAGCTCTCAAAACCCTCATCCGTCCCTCCCGAACCTATAACAAAAAGTGTCCTTCGCGGGTCAAAATGACCCGAAGGCTAAAAATGACACTAATTTTTTTTTTTTGGTCCAGAAATCTTATATTGATCCATTTTTATATATTTTTTTCTAAATATTTATGTAGGTTTTTCTATTACTGTTTGGTAATTTTTATGATATTTACCTTTATTCTGGATATTTTTAAGAAAATATAAGCAAATAAGCAGTTTTGTACATTATTTCACCAAAAAAAACAAAAAACAAATAAAGACACAATTTCAGTCCTGTTCATCAAAAACCAACCATCTGTTGGAATTGGAATTGAGTCACTGAGTGTCTCTGATGCCATCTGGTGGGGGAAAATTACATAAAATTGCATTTTATGGTTACAGCCACTAGAGGGGCCTAGTGTCTTTCTCAATGATTTACATATTGTAGTCCAACTTAAGAGTACTTTACAACTAGGTCCCCTTTTCAAAGAAACTTCCTTCCCTGTTTTAAAAGATATTGTCATGAAATAACGCGTTCAGGCAGTGCTGATAAGTTGTGGCATAGGTGTATCGCTGCTTGTGTAAATGCCATGCCATGCCATGTGTCCGTCTATTTTTTTTTTTTTTAGTAGAGATCTAGCAGATATCGGCGATTATAAAAGGTGGAAACATCCATAGGTGCCTTATAATCAGTGTTGGAGACTTAAAATGATTTGCATGAGATACAGCTTATGCAGAGAAAATGTTTGCTTATGGTCGAAGACTGGCGAAACCCTGCAGTATTATTTCGTGTCATGCATTTCAGATCATCTGATCAACTAGGGGCTCAAAAATGTTAAAACAGATGCATAATCTGTGGATCTTTTTTTTTTTTTTTTGCTTCGAACATAATTTTCTGACTGTGTGATAGTGATATGTTCAGTATAAATGTTAGAAAATTATTGACAGCTATTAGAGGTATTAATATAGTGTTTTATCAACATGGAAGTCTAAAGGTGCGGTCACATTAAACTATGAAAACTATGTTCATACACAGATGAGCACAGTTGAGTGAAAGGTAAAGTAAGGTAAACTTGGATCTGCAAATTCATATAGTGAGAAATCTGCAGTTTGTAGAAAGCCAGCCTCAAAGCTGCATAGTTTGCCGTTTAATGAAAAGGTGGAGTAGATAGAAAATAGCATTCAATATTTCAAGCAATAAATGCTCATTGGAAAAACGTGCCTACCTACATTTTTGCAAAACTCCTATAACATACTTTTATTTCACATAACCAGCTCCTTATGTACTTTATGGCTTTTCTGAGGTAATGAACATGCTCGAAAGCGCACCCGGTATATTTAACTTGAGATGCGGAGTGCTCAAGAATGAGTCCTGTGAAACACAAGTCACAAGACTCAGTAAAAGAGCTCACAGACTTGTAGATTCGAACAACAATTACATGGATGGTTCAGCATTTTTATTTCGCAATTTCTTTGGTTAACACTATCGGTTGGGTTTACTGTTGGTGTGACTTTCAAGCGCGATAGAGCATTAACCTTTTAGGTTGACATTTAATTTCCGAACTCCCGCGATATGTACAACAACCAGTGTAATGAAATGTTGCCAGACTCACGTTCATCTGTTTTGGTTAAAACGAAACATACTTTTAGCATCACTCACTGAACAATTCACTTTGAAAAAGCCATGAATTGAAGGAGAATTATATCATTTTGCAGAAATGTCACCACAGAAACATTTTTCCAGTGAGCCTGGGTCGATTACAAATGTATTGGTTATTTGCAATT